TAATAATAATAATCACCAAAGGTGTTTCTGTTTCATTTCTCCAAAAATATTTAAATCTATGGATAAAGAAGAAGCAGCAGAAGCAGAAGAAGCAGAAGAAGAAGAAGAAGAAGGAAAAAAAAGTTTGGGCAACAAACAGTGTCAAAGTCAACAAAAATTGATGATGGTTAACTGCAAAAAAAAAAAGAAAAAAAAAACAAAATAAATAGATAAACTATACACCGATTAAAATGATGTGACAAATTGGAGCAGCTAAAAACCGATTTAGCAGCATTTTTAATGTTGCATAACTTTTTTTGTCACTATGTTTAATTAGCCAACTGACTGACCTCGGCGATGATACTTTCAAGAAAACGGTAAAAACCGATGATAGAAATGACAAAAAATAGAAAAAAAAACAAGTTGGGAAACAGGAAAAAAACCAAAATCAAAATAATTCAGCAACAGATCGATCATAAAAGACGAATAACTTTTAAGAATTATATAATTGTTAAGCAATAAAAAACAAAACAAAAAAACACAGCACTTTGTAAATATATTCATTTATTTTGCTAATAAACATTTAAAAAAAAAAAATTAAATTTTGTTATTATTATTATTATTATTATTATTATTATTATTATTTATTATTATTATTATTATTATTATTATTATTATCTTTATTGAATAATACAAATTTTTAGCTGTTAACTGCAAAACTGTTTTGCCGTTGGCATTATTGCAAACTGCCATATGGGACACAATGTGTTTCAGCTAATCATTTATGTATAGTTACTATCTAATAAATTACCTAACAAAAGTGTACACCTCCAAAAAGAAAACAGAAAAATAACATTTTTATAAATTAAGCGGTTCAAAAGAAAAAAAATTTTTTTTCTTGGAAAAAGGTAGAAAAAAAAGTAATGCATATCTCAAAAAAAAAAAAAAGAACTTACCAAATACGTATAGTTCACTGTTATTTATGCAAAAAAAAAAGAGGTGGCAAACAAAGTTGCTGCCACAAAGAATTAAGACGAAAAATTGACAGAAAGGAAAAAAAAAACTTCTTTTTTTTTTTGAAACCACAAAAAATTAGCATTTACTTTTTTAGCAACTGATCTGATTCATTGATCTGATTTCTAAAATTAAAATAACAAGTAAAAAAAAAGACAGTAAAGAAAGTTTTGTACATCAAAAAGATTCATCGGACAACAGTTTACTGTATGCCTCACAATGTGTTTAAAACGCACCGATAACCACAAAAGAAAAGCAATAAGCAAAAAAACAAAAGAAACTGTATTACCTCAAACTTTGCTCCAGAAATTGTTCAAATTTTTTTTTTTTTTTTTCAACAATTGTCCATTATTTAGAATTGTAAACTGTGGGAGGAGGAAAGGAAAAAAAAAAAAAAAGAAAACTAAATGTAGTTTTTGGCTTTTAAAGCATTTTTTTTGTTGACTAATAATATAAAACAGAGGGGGGATGAAATAAAAAAAAAAGGCGGGGGCAGTGAAGAGGGCGGTGGGGTGAAAAAACTAAGCGGAAAGCCTAATAAAAAGTAATGAAAAAAAAAAAAATTTAGAATAATTTTTTTTTTTTTGCCTAATTCATTGTACAACCTCTCTTTTTTTTTTTTCAGTTAATTATTTGGTTTCTTTTTTTCCCCTTTTTTTTTTGCTCTACCATCGCCCTGTTGTCACCAATGTATCGGTTGAACAGTCAAAGTTAAAACAAATAAAGTTGAGTTCGGAGTTATGTTTGCCAAAAAAAAAGTTTCTATTTTGTTTTTTTTTTTACAAATCATAAATACTTTTTTTAAGTAAACTTTTGTGACAGTATATTTTTTCTTTTTTAATAATTATTTTGGATAATATGCTAATGAGGAGCAAATTATCAACAGCAATTACAGCAAAGAAAATTACTACTACTAATCCAAACAAAATCTATGGCAAAGAAAGAAAGAAGAAAACAAAGAAGAAATCTGTGACAGTAAGTAATAAGCAACAAATTGCAAACTCTACTGAAAATCAACTACTGTTCATAGTAAGAAAAATAAGGTTTTTTTCAGTGAGAACACAACATATAAACTGTTTTCAGTAAA